ATAAACAGCTGGGACTACATCAATTAAAGAGCGTCTGCACAGCAAAAGAGACAATAACAAAAACAAAGAGAAACCCCACAGACTGGGAGAACATTTTTGCACCCAACACTAATGATAAAGGACTGATCACAAAAATCTGCAAAGAGCTGATGAGACTCAACAACAACAAAGAAAATAGTCCAGTGAAAAAATGGGCAGAAGAGCTAAAAAGAAACTTCTCTGAAGAGGAAATGCAAATGGCCAACAGCATATGAAAAAATGTTCAACTCACTTGTAATCAGGGAAATGCAAATCAAAACTACCATGAGATACCATCTTACACCAGTGAGAATGGCACATAATAAAAAAACTAGCAACAACAAATGTTGGCGAGGGTGTGGAGAAAAAGGAACTCTCCTGCACTGTTGGTGGGAGTGCAAACTGGTCCAACCACTGTGGAGAGCTGTGTGGAGATTTCTGGACCTACTAAACATAGAGCTTCCATATGATCCAGCAATTCCACTCCTAGGTATTTACCCAAAGGACACAGAAACATCCATTCCAAAGAGCACCTGCACCCCTATGTTTATAGCAGGACTGTTTACAATAGCTAAGCTTTGGAAACAACCCAAATGCCCAAAAATAGATGACTGGATCAAGAAGATGTGGTACATATATACCATGGAATATTACTCAGCTTTCAAAAAAGATAAACTCATGCAATTTGCAGCAACATGGATGGCGCTGGAAGGGATCATGCTCAGCGAAATAAGCCAAAAGAAAAAGAAAAATACTGGATGGTCTCACTCATAGCAGGAATCTAGAAAACTTAAATAAGGGACCAGGAAAATGAATATAAGAAAGTGAAAATCAAAATCAACAAAAAAACTATGAACCAGAGACACTTTTTGGGGGTGGGGGGCAGGAGGGGAAAGGATTGGGGTCAGAATGGGGCGTTTGCAATTGTATGGGGGAATATAAAAATAAAATTTATTATTTAAAAAAAATAAAAAAAATAAAAGCTATACCTATCATTCAAAAAAAAATTAAAAAATAAAATAAAAAAATAAAAAAAAAGGCAAGATTTCTATTTTCATAAACCTCATAGTCCATTCAAATTACTAATGCGACCAAATCATGGCATGCAAAGTTGGAATAGATAATGATAAGCACATACACGAAAAAGCATTAAATGTACACAGTGCTTGCTAGAGCAAAGGGTTGCTCAAGTCTTTTGGATTTGATGCCTCCTAGGATTTTTCCTGGAACAAGAACTGGAGTGAGGAGACTGATCTGAGGGTGGGGCTTGAAAGTGTAGATGGATTGTGGGATCACTCACAGAATTTTCTAAATGCTACATGGGAACATAAATGCTCTCTGTTCTTTGTCTTAGGACTGCTGACAAAAGTTCAAATCGTGACATTCAATCAATGTCAATTATTTCTGTTGCTGACAGATACACAAGCTGGGACTGGAGATGAAAAGAACATTTTGGCTGGGTGCCAGCAGCACATAGCACTAAAATGAAACTGTCTGCCACAGAAGAAGTTACATCTGTTTTACTCTGGGTTCCCTCAGATAACCTTGAAAGGGAACATCAGGGAAAATTGAAGCACATGCTTTGTGCTCCTGGGACCTCATATGTCTATATGGTTGTCACCCCCTTTCCATCTTACCTTGTGTTCTGAATGGTGGACACATCACTGTTGAGGGAAGCGAGTCTATTTTTCAAAATCCAGAGTGCCACCAGGAAGAAAACTATATTGACCTTCAGGAAACCACAGAAATTTCATTGAATAAATTTCCAATCTGTTATCTCTGTCCTAGCTTGTTCAATATCAACTTCACACTAATTTTCAGATTTAGTAACAGTTTAATGTTTATAGTTTCAGGAGTATCCTTATCCTTAAAAACCAAACCCATAACAAGCCAGGGACACATCTGGATTCTGTCACCCTCCCTTTTGCAATTCTGCTCTTCCCGTGACCCTCAGCTGAGCATTAAGGATGCTCTAACATCATTACTCACAGAGAAGATGGCACACACTGGTCCAAGGAAGCCCCATACAAACCCCATCTCTGTGTGGAGCCAGCAACTGTATGTGAGAGAGAATAAAAAACTGCATTGGAACTGAGGCTACTAGAGAGGAAGGAGAGTGGTGGGTGTAAAAGAGGCTGGTGGGGTCCAAAAGTCTATGGGTGCTTTTGTAATATGAAAGGAAGAGGAACACTGAATGAGGGTCATTCTCCCTGCCCCCACTTACACGCAGTTGCCTTGGAATACAAATCCAGTATGCCATGTGCAAGGCCTATATAAGGGGATGGGGGAATTAGTAAATGATACATAGAAAACCTAGAAATCAGGACTTTACTGATAAACAGTGAAAGAATTCATTCTTGCTACAACATCAGAGTAAAATTCAGGGGAGGCAGGATATTTCAGAACAGTTGAAAATACACCAAAAAGAATGGAAGCAAGGGCAAACTGACATGTCCAAAAAGGACACCTGAAGAGAGCACAGCTGGTGCGTGTAAACAAGAATTTAACTGAATGCTGTGGCTAAGGGTGCAGAATCTGGAGGAGTCATTTCCTGAAAAGAGGACGGAGGACCTTAGAGAAGTGCTATCATTTGAAAACAAAAACGTGTTTATGGAAAATAAATAAAACAATTTTTAAATATATTTTATTTTATATAATTCTCACATCATTTTTCATTTTTGCACAATGTGTGCATTTTCATCTTGGTTATATTCCCCATACAATTCCCACCTCCCTTTTTTGACCCTAATCCCTCAACTCCTCCACCACCCCCATAGTGTGTCTCTGGTTTATAGTTGCTTGTTGATTTTGATTTTTTTTTATCATGATTAGTCTTTTTCCTGGTCCCTTATTTAGGTTTTCGAAATTCCTGCTATGAGTGAGACCATCCAGTATTTTTCTTTTTCTTTCTGGCTTATTTCTCTGATTATGACCCCTTCCAACTCCATCCATGTTGCTGCAAATTGCATGAGTTTATGTTTTTTGATTGCTCAGTAATATTCCATTGTGTATATGTACCACATCTTCTTGATCCAGCCATCTATTTTTGGGCATTTGTGTTGTTTCCATAGCTTAGCTATTGTAAATAGTGCTGCTATAAACATAGGGGTGCAGGTGCCCTTTTGAATTAGTGTTTCTGTGTCCTTTGGGTAAATACCTAGGAGTGGAATTGCTGGATCATATGGAAGCTCTATCTTTAGTAGGTTGAGAAATCTCCATACACTTTCCATAGTGGTTGGACCAGTTTGCACTCCACGCTCCCACCAGCAGTGCAGGTGGGAGCCAACATTTGTAACATCCTCGCCAACATTTGTAAAAACATCTATTTTAAAACTCAAATTCACCCAAGCCCAAGAACAAACTAAAAATAATCCATCCAAAAGAGACTTCTGAACTTTGATAAGACTGAGAAGTATGTGATTTTTAACTTGAAGCTGTTTTCATTCCTTCTCTCCACAGTCTAGTATACAGCAGCCACATGTTCACCACTTTGTAGGCAACAGAGAGATATGACTACTTTTGGAGCGCTATTCAAAGCATCATCACCAATAGAGCAGTCAGTATTTTTTCTCACCCATTAGTTCCCTGGGGGGTCTTCATTCTCAAAATTTGGAGGCTATTTGGTTATTTTTTGTGCCTCAGGGACAAAAGATACCATACCCCTAGAACATTACCAAATAATAGAATACTACAATCACATCACCAGACACCAAAGACTGTCATCAAGTAGGATCAACAGAAACTTGTGCAGGATTTTTTCTAAATACTGGAAAACTAAAGGACAGTAAGGACTTTTGAAAACTCTGTAATGTTCCCAGAAACCTAAGATTGAACAAGACTGTGTCATGCTCAGGAAAGGCCTGGAGGAAGAAAGCAGGTCTCTTATCTCTGGCTGACCTTGAGGTTTTGTGCAACCAAGATATGAGAGCTCACACTGTTAGGCAAACTGCTTGAAGATTAAAGGGGTGTCTTCTCACATGATATCTTATAAAAGAGGGCAAAGAATATTGCAAGGTATTTAAGGCAGTCTTCTGAACAAATGTTGAATGGTTTCTACATTGTACTGAATGGGGTGTGACCACTAGAAATCAAGATTAGAAATAAAAACAAGACTTTTAAAAATCTAACAGAGCACTCAAAGGCCACAGACTGCAGGCAATCATCAATCTCCAGAACTAGTTTAGGAAAGTCACTAAACAAACAACAAACTAGTGACAATGAACTACAACATTTTATCTAAAACACCCAATTTTAGAGAATCTACCCACACCATGGCAGAATAGAGATGCTAGGATCATCCTCTCCCTTAAAAACAACCATACACAAATATTTGCTCAAAGACAGTTTCAGAAGTTCCCTAACAGAAACTCAGAGTTTCCCTTGGAGAACCTCCTGGTGGTTTACTGTGGGGAAAGAGAAAGAGATAAAGTGAGGAGGAGTAAAACCAGGAAAGTAGATACGCCAGACAGAACTGGCTATGGATCAATCCATGGCCCTATAGGGCATTAGAGAAAATTTCCCTAAGGGATTTCTCAGAATAGTAATATAGTCACACATGGGCACCAGTCAGCTTGGAACACTGGGAACTCCACAATCAGCACAAGTAAAGTAAAGCTCACCCCACCGTCTCCCAGGAGTAAGATCAGAGTCACCAGCATCGTAGGCTCAACAGCAGAAAGGACTGGTGAGAGAGAACTCACCAGCCCTTGGAAAGTATCCAGTAGGCACATAGAGCTTTCCCCCAGGTACCTGGGAAGTGGGGCAGCAGCAGTGGAGGTGGCCATCACCTCTGGCCATAGCTGGGGAGTGGGGCACACATGATACCTAGTCACCTCCTGTCTGCCAGACCTAACTGACCCAGAGCAACAGCCTTATGGACCAGCATGAGAAACTCAACTAGCACAGAATAGGATCCAAAGCAGAAAGAAGCAGCAGAGAGAGGGAAAAAAATGATAAATTCTGACATCATCAAAACCAAAATCTACTTTTGCCTTAAAGGGCATTATGAGATGCCATCTTACACCTTTGAGAATGGCAATATTAAAACAAACTAGCTACAACAAATGTTGGCGAGGATGCGAAGAAAAGGGAACTCTCCTGCACTGCTGGCATGAGTGCAAAATGGTCCAACCACTATGGAAAGCTGTGTGGAGATTCCTCAACCTGGTGAAGATGGAGTTTCCATGTGATCCAGCAAATGAAAAATGATATAAAAAATATATGAAATAAAAAAAAACTTAAAAAAGGGCCTTATCAAGAAAGTGAAAAGATATTGAAACAAAATATGAAAATCATATATTGATATTTTTCTAATAGAATATATTAACACTTACAATAGATCAATAAAAAGAAAATCCAACTTAAAAATGGGCAAAAGATTTAAACAGGTATTTCTCCAAGGGAGATAAGCAAATAGTCAATAAGCACATGAAAAAGTGCCCAACAGCATTAGTCATTAGGGGAATAAAAATCTGACCCACAATAATTATCACTTCACATGCATCATGGCCAAAGTAAAAAATGTAGAAAATAATTGTTAGTGAGATAGAGAAGTGGTGGCACAAGGGGATAAGCACAGCACTATGAAGCTGTCAGCAGCCTCTGCAGCACGAGTTCCATCCATGGCTGCCCAGGGAGCGGCCCACATGGCCCAGCGGACCTGTCCTGACTCACCTGCTGCTCCCCTCAGCAGTGTATTTCAGTCAGTCTGCCTGTTCTGTTCCCCACTCTGTCTCTGGTGAATCCTCTCACCCTTGCCCCCACACCTCTGGCCTGTGCCCTAGTTTTTGTATGCCTAAATAAATAAATCTTTTTTTAAAAAAGATACAGAGAAGTTGAAACCTCATATATTGTTGGTGGGATGTGAAGTTTGAGACACTGGAAAACAAGTGGTGGTTTGTCAGAATGCTAAACACAGATTTGCCACTTGTAGACACATACCCAAGACAAATGCAAACATATGTCCACATAAAAACATGCATGTATATTAGCATTACTCACAATATCAAAACAATATCAACTGCTGAACGTGGTATATGTATATAATGGAATATTATTTGCAGAACAACACTACCAGCAACAACAAGAAAGAGGTCATGATATTTGCTCCAACAGGATGAACCTTGAAAACATCATGCTAAGTCAAAGAATTCAGTCCCAAAAGACCACATATATGATTCATGAATGCAAAATAGCCAAAAAGATAGAGCCATAGGATAGAAAGCAGATTCATGTTTACTGAGAATGGGACATGAAAGTTACCGTCTATCAAATTTCTTTTGAGGATTTGAAACTGTTCTAAAATTGCATTGCCCTGATGGCTACACACCACTCTGATTACTCTAAAAACCACTGATATGTATACAATTAAAGGGTGAAGTTAGTGGTCTGTAAGATACATTTCAATGAAGAAGTATAAACATTAAACCTAGTATTAAATGCTGAAATAAGAGAATGGAAGCTCTGAAACTTGACTCCATGAATTTAAGTCCTCACTCTGCCAGCTACATGTGTGCACCTTAAGACATTTTCTTGAAAAGATTGTGCCTTGGTTTACTCATCTGTATAATAGGGTAAACAATAGTATCTACTTCATATTTTAATGTGAGGATTGAGTCAACTACTATAAAAATGGTTAGAAAATGCCTGACACTATGTTGGCACCTTGTAAATCTTAACTGTGACATAATCCATTGTTTTGATTACTCAAATCGGTTCTATTTTTCCAAGAGAAAAACTAGAACATCCTACAGGATAACGATTAAGTATAGGTTAGATTTTTTTAATGAAATCCTGAACACTCCTTTTGATTTCATCTTTGCTATTTCAAGGACACAGATTTAAATATATTCTCCTTAATCATTATAATATCGCAAAATAATGATGCGTTAAAGAGTATTAATTAGTGTTGCTCTCCACATTATTTTTCTTAGGCATTAATCAACATTCGACATTGGTTCCATGATGGCCATGATCACATGAAGAAAGTAATGAAGGTGGGATTTTGCATTTACCGGGCAGGTGTTCCATAAAGATCAGGCCTGGCTGCTGCGGAAATGGCCACAATCACAGCCGGGACTCCATAGCCCACAGGGAACATAAATTTCTTGATGAACCTGTTGACACTAGCATAGTTGACCACCATCAGATTGCGTGCAGTGAGGAAGAGGTGCAGGCCCTCCAGCAGCATCCAGGTGAAGGAGGCCAGGTAGAGATAGTGTAAGGCACCTGCGATGACAGCACACAAGACCTGGGAAGAGAAGGGTATCACCAGAAGGGATCATCACGGTAGAATGTGGCCGCAGGACCTCTCCTGCACACTGCCACTGGAGACAACTCTGATGTAGGATTGTCAAGAGATAGGGGTGTCTTCTACTTGCACTTGTCAATGTGAAATTGACCATTCACCCCAACAAGCTTCCCCAGGGCCCACGACCCTCTTATTTAAATGCCCATTACAACATTGCTCCATGAGTTCAGCATTCCCTGGGAAAGGGCTGGGAAGCCTCTGGGCACTGTCACTACCTTGATTTCAGTTCTCTCAATGGTTGTGAGGAAGAGCAGGTGGGCAAAGAAGAGGCAGAGTGAGAGCTGCAGGTGGAGGGAGGTGCTGGTGTTCTGGATGGGTTTGCACAGCAGGAAAGTGAGGGCCGCCAGGAAGAGGCAGAGCAGAGAGAGGCTCAGTCCCACGTAGGTGATCACAACCAGCACAGGATCTTCCTCCTGGGATGCAGCAGAGATGACAGTCACCTCCTTGCTCTGTGGCAATGACCTTCCCACCATTTTTATTTTCATTTTCAGGCACAAAGCTCCATTTTCAATTGATGCTCGCCTCTATTCCATGAGGCTGTGATGGAGTCTGTTCCTGGAGACTCCATGTCCAAAATCCAATTCCCCACTCCAACTCCACTCACCTCAACACAGCAACACTGTTCCTTGTGGGTTCTAATCCTTACACATTTAGAACTTGATTCTTGACTAAAGGAGGAAAACCACTATGCTTCATGATGGAGGTAACTTAAAATTCAAATTTCTCTCTTATTGCAAGTAACCTTCTTTTAATTATTTTTATTTTTATTTAAGTATCATCATTTTAAATCCTTGGTAGTGTTTTGACAGTACAGGATGTTCCCCCCTCGGGTAGTCACTGTAACCTCCCACAATGGAAGCACCTTCAGTCCTCCACAGAGTGCACTGTGTTCTCTCCCTCCTCACCCCACCTCTCCTTGTAGATAATTTAAATCCATGAGAAGAATTAAAAAATAGCAATTCCATTTAAACCTAACCAAGAATAACTGGTGAGAAGGAGGGGGGAAGTAGAGAGAAGTGGTGTGAATATAAAGGAAATGGATGTAAAATATTCAAAACTTGTTCATCTGGGTAAATGGCAATTAGGCATCATTTGCACTGTTTTAAATTTGTAGCATTTCTGTAGATTGAAATTGTTCCTAATAAAATGCTGAAAAATAATTAACAATCCCCCTATGTATTCTTTATGCACACTAAATTTTGAAAAATTTTGCTATAATCACAAAAAAAACTAATTTTCTTAATATAGAAGGAACTCACATAAATCCATAAGAAATACAACATACCAATAAAAAATGACTGAAATGGAGAAAGACTTTTGAGGAATTAGGTTAGCTTTGTATTATAGGTGGAATTCTTTTTAATATTTTCTTTTGCTTTTTTTAAGATTTATTTATTTATACAAGAACTAGGGTACAGACCAGAGGTGTGGGAGGGTGAGAAATTTACCAGAGACAGAGCCGGGAGCAGAACAGGCAGACGACCAAAAATGCTGCTGAAGGGAGCAGCGGGCGAGACAGGAGAGGTCTACTGCACCATGTGGGTATCTCCCTGGCCAGTCGGGAATCAAACCCACGCTGCAAGGCTGCTGACAGCTTCACACCGCTGCGCTCAACCCGCTGTACCACCAGGGAGGCCCTGCAGGTGGAATCCTTACTAGACCAAAGATATGCTTCCAGATGCAATTCAAAGTCAACCCATCCCAAATCTCTTAGAGCAATTGAGAAGAAAAAAATGGTCTTAGAAAATAATAGTCTATTTATGTAATGTAAATTTCCTGCCTCTACATTTTTTAGAACCAGAGTCACTCTTAAAAAAACCTAATTTCAGGAGCAGTTTCTTACCTGAATGAGCAAATGAAGAGAAAAGCTATTTTAAAATTAAATCAACAAAAATTCTCAGTGTCTTCACAAATATTGGAAAAATAACTACTATTTCTTTTTTTTTTTTTTTTTTTTTTTTTTTTTATAGAGGCATGCTTTATTTATTTGTTTGCTGGTTTGTTTGTTTTGTTTTGTTTATACATGCACTGGGTACAGTCAGAAGCGCGGGAGGGTGAGAGAATTCACCAGAGCCAGAGCGGGGAGCAGAGCAGGCAGAAGGACCGAAGTACACTGCTGAGGGGAGCAGCGGGCGGCAGGAGAGGTCTGCACGCCATGTGGGACCCTCCTCTGGTGGCCGGGGAGCAGCCGGGGATCGAACCGCCGCCGCAGAGGCCGCGGGCAGCTTCGCAACCCAGCGCTCAACCGCTGCGCCACCGGGGAGGCCCAATAACTACTATTTCTTAAAACTAGTAGAGGTGGCTGAAATTTTAAATGAAAACCAAAAGATCTCTGTCTCCGTACATATTGTTTTAGTTTACTTTCGAAAGGTTACAGTAGAATTAATTCACATGTAATTGGTTTATAGATGTCCTTATATATATTCTAAACTCAAGAATGTAATAGAAACTAAACCAAAATATTTTTCAAGAAATTGTGATTTAAGATAATTTTGGTCAATAAGAAATAGTATAAAACTTCAAACCACAGTTTAAAGCATATCTTTGAGTTTTAATATTGGGTGTAATACTTTACTTTTACTTGCACATTTTGATCAGAGTCAGCTCATGGTATCAAATAAGGAAAAGTAACCGACTAACCTATAAAGGAAATGGCCCAAAATGGAGTCAGTTGTATTAAACCTGTCAGGAAGCCTCAAGTTTTCTGGTCAGGTAAACTTGACTTTCAGGTAAAGGTTTAAACAAAAGAGAGAGGAATATCTAATAATAATTGGGCTCTCTGGTTTAAAACCTTAGAGAAACTAGATAAAATTAAATAATGGGGAAAAGTAAAGAAAGGATTATTTCATATGAAATTATCTTGCCAACTTAATTCCAGAGAATATGGACTGGGAATTTCACCTCAGGGAGAAATTGAAACTGCCATCTGGTAATTTAACATGGGTAACTCCCTTTTATATCCATTCTGCACACACTTCCTGAGTAGTTTCCCAAATTTCTTTTGGAAAATTGAGCTTATGCTACATTTATAATGGAATTTATTGAATATATGGATCATTCTAACTGAAATAGCTGCACTTTCAGGTTTTCTTCTTGTAGGGGTATCATTTAATAGAGTTAAAACTTACTCTGTACTTTGCTCAGCTGAACTAAGCTGAAAAGAAAGGGACACCCTGGGGGTGCCATGGAAACCTGGCCAGGGATCCACGTGACCAATAGGGGGCCACCTCGAATTCCCAGTAATGTGGTAATAGGGCAAACAGAACCAGGCAGGACACCTCTGTGGGGAAGCCCCCCCAAACCTGATGCCCCAGCAGACCACAACTGACAGAGACCAACTCCCCCGTCATGAAAACAAATTAATGTTACACAATTATCTGGTAGAACTGGAGTGAAGGTGGAAAAAGAAATGTTTCAGTGGCATATCTTGGTCATTTGAGTTTTTTGCCTTTTAATTAACCTGTACACTGAACTGAATCCTGGTAAGAGAGCCATGACTCACCGCTAGCTCTTTGACCTTCTGAGTTGGAGTGAGGGGCAGAGCAGAGCCTCCGGGTAGACTCCCACTTCCGCAGGACCTCCTGCCACAGCTCCCACTTCAGCGCAGCTGCCCCTTTTTGCAGGGAAAAGGGTTCCTACTGCTGCTCAGGTCCCACGTGTGCCCCTTCAGCTACCTGTGGCTGGTTTTCCAGCTTCCGTGCTTTGGTGGAAGCCATGAGCGCACTCTCTTGAGAGACTAAGATGGTTGCCATCTTGACTATGTGGTGCATTCAGCTTGGGTGGTACATTTTGTTTTGTTTTTTTTTTTTGTTTTTGTTTTTTTTGTTTTTTATTTAAATTTTATTTTTATATTCCCCATACAATTACAACCCCCTTATTTTGACCCCAACCCCTCCTTTCCCTGTCCCCCATACCCCATAGAGTGTCTCTGGTTCATAGTTGTTTGTTGATTTGGATATTTTCTTTCTTATAGTTATTCTTTTTCCTAGTCCCTTATTTAAGTTTTCTAGATTCCTGCTATGAGTGAGACCATCCGGTATTTTTCTTTTTCTTTCTGGCTTATTTCGCTGAGCATGATCCCTTCCAGCTCCATCCATGTTGCTGCAAATTGCATGTGTTTATCTTTTTCGAATGCTGAGTAATATTCCATGGTGTATATGTTGGATGGTACATTTTGAACTTTGGTTCTCTCCTCCTCTCCCAGCCCACAGACCCCTGTGCAACTTCTTACTTGTGTTTCTTGCCAGGAGGTTGACTTGGATTCATTCTCCTGGCAGCTCTGCCCTTGGGCCTTGACCACTCTACTTTGGGTTGTGCCTGTTTGACTGAAGGTGCCCACAAAGGAGAGGTTGATTTGGGAGTTTGGTTGGGAGTCCATATTTTGAAATCCTTCTCTCCCCTACTCCTCTTCTCCCCTTCTCTATTCCCTTGGAACCTCTGATCGATCTATTTAAAATCTTTGACACACTAGAGTTTGAGTCTTTGCTTTTATGCAGTGGCTAGGCACAACCCTTAGATTGGGCAACATGGGTTTTTCCCCATAAGAGTTTGGGGTCCATGGACACCCCTAAGTTTCACCCAGTATGATCCTGACTTTTTCTAATTTGACTATGACTTTTCAAACAAATCTTTCCAGTTTTTCTCCCAGCCTTTTTGGCTTGGATTGATTAACTGTCTTGTTCTACAACTGGAAGTGGAAAATCCTGTCAACTTCAGAGAGATCACCAAGACAGCTGTGCTAAATATGACCATCACTGTTTTCCTAAATACCTGATGATATGGAATTGCAAACATGAAAATCACTGTCTGCCCTCACCCCATCTGAAGATGCCTCAACACCCCCCAACATCTAGAAATCTTCTCTCTATAGGTTTCCCTCAGGACTCCCAACCGAATTTGTGATTTGCTTCAAACATTAACTTCTTTTTTGTTTGTTTCTATAAAAGTATTTCTTATTGCTTGTGACAGAGGCCTCTTGGATGTGCTTGCTTCTTTCACATTGCATATTGTCTTGGAAACAAACACTATAGTCTTTGGAAACAAAAATAATAGTACATATAAATCCTAGCATAATGAGTTACTTCCAGTCACTACTTACTCTTTTTCCCTAGTAACTTCTTTATTTTAGTCAATTGTCTTACCAGTCCAGAGATGACATAGTGGATGACATAGTGTTGCTGGCCCATGACAGGCCATTTGGTGGCACATGTATTTTGAGAAGAACCTTAAACTCACTCTGACTTTGTCTGCATTTTAATATTAAGACCTCTGTCTCTGGGTAGGACTTCTCCATTTTCTGAACATGTGATATATGAAGAATCATGTTCCCCTACTGTGGCTGCACAGGCTGTTCCCAAGCCCTTATCCTCTGCCCCCACAAGTACAAGAATGTCATCCCTTTTGTCAGGCTCCTTGTGGCCCATATATTGGCGAATCTGTTGTCCTAAGGAAGTCACTTACCTTGGTGGTCTCCCTGGAGCTTTCTGTCACTCTATCATTTCAATAAATCTCAGCTTCAAAATCAACTGCCATGGTTAGAGTCCTCATGTCATTCTTGAATGTTACAGGACAGTTACTGGGACAGGAAACACTTGCACAGTAATGTCTCCAGAAATTGGACATAATTGCTTAATTGGAATGACCTATTTTCAGTACTGAGAGACTGGTTCTAGGAAATAATTAAGCAATTCAACTTCAAATGTGGAACTTCTTGAGAAGTTCCAAAAGTAGGACTGTGGGGGAGGGAATCTTTCATCCAAAATATGCCTTTACTTCATGGAAGGGGTCCTGAGATTGGGTGGAAGTTGCTTTTTCTATTTATCTATAAATTTCTCTCTGTAAGGGTATTACCCAGGAAGATCTACTCTCCTTATCTCCTTTCAGTGAAGAAGGCTGAATTTAAATCTGCATTGCTTTATTTTCCAGTCCTTAACTGAATTTCCCCTTTCTTGCCCCAACCTCCCTTGTCTTAGCTAAGCTACTTGAGGTGGTATCTAAACCATGTAGGTGAGTTACTTAGTCATGCTGGGTCTCTCCATGTACACAGGGAATATACAAGATATTATTAAACTTTTACATGTTTTTTCTCCTATCAGTCTGTCTAATGCTTGTTTGATTATTTGCCAGCCAAGAAGAACCCAGAGGGATTATTTCCTTTCCACACCAACACTAAACCTCTGTAACATAATTTGAACTGAGGGACTTCGATGGAGTTATTGTGGTTCCATTAAATTATAGGGTTGCTTTCTATTTTTGTAAAAAATGCCACTGAAATTTTGATAGGGGCTCTATTAGTCTGTAGATTACTTTTAGTAATATGGGACATACTACAACATTAATCCTTCTGTTAGGGGGAAAGGATGTTCTGAGCTAATCCCATACAGGCTTTGTGGACTCCACCCCAACTACAGACCAAAGTTATCAAGACATTGGGAAAGACAAATCCCGTCACCACCAAAGGGAAGGTGGCTGGGTCTTGAGGGTGGAGTTAAGCAGCCAGGTTGGGTATAAAAACCAAACACGTGGGCCTTAGGGTCTCTCTCGCTCTGTCGCTCACCTCCTGGCTTCACAGCTCCTGGCTTGAGGCCATCTCTCAGAGTGCCATTTGGGATTCCAGATCGGTGGATCGGGTAGGATGCATTTAAAACTTTGTCTCTCATTTTTCTCCCTGAGCTGTACATTTCCTCATTTGCCCTTCCCTTTTAAATAAACCTTTTATTAACCTTTCTTGTGTGCCTGCAGTAGAGTATTGATAAATCCTTTAAAGTGCGCGGGTGAGGGCCCACAGTCAGGCACCCAGTTTTGTATCAGGCTGCCCTATAACACTTCGAGCTTATTAGGATGGAATGGATGGAATCTTTCCATTTATTTGTTTCATCTTCAGTTTCCTTCATAAATGCCTTATAGATATCATTGAATACCTGTATCACAGGTCTCTCAACTTTGTTAAATTTATTTTTGGGTATTTAATTCTTTTCAATGCAATTGTAAATAAAAAAATTTTTAGTTTCTCTTTCTGGTTGTTCATTGTTGGCATATAGGAACACAACAAATTTTGGGAGATTGATTTTGTATCCTTCACTTTACTGAATTTATTTATACTATTAGTAAAACTCTTGACCTTTTGGGGACCACTGATATTGTAACAGTTTAATCTCCATAAAAAGAGGAAGTTCCAAGCTCCCTGTCCCACCTAATGTAGGGTGGAGCTGAACAGTGAGGGGAAGCTAAAGAGAACTTGGAGGTGTGTGCAGCAGAGAGACATGTGAAGGAGAACACACTTGCTTCTCAGCTTTGAACCTGTACCAAGGACTGGGGGAATATGGGGAGAGACTGAAGTCAAGGCATGTAGAGACACTTGAAAGAGATAGGTGAGAGACACCATGTGGAGAGGCTGACAATGGCAGCCTTTATCTTGATTTGTACTTTTATTTTGCTCCTTTTGTCCCAGACTTTTCTGGCCTCTTCTGCCATTTCTGTGGTTCCCTGCCAGAAAGTACCTTACACCTGTGGCAGGCTTTCAGGCCTCAGCGGCCAGCTCTGAGTCAGCTGTTTGGCCAGACATCTATTCACAAAGGGATGTAACTCTGGGTGTGTTATTGGGAAACTATTATTCTTTTTTTTCTCTCTATGCACACTAACCCTATTAAAATCCTTTCACACTTAAGAATATGCTTTGTCTTTATGAAGCAGACAGCAGGCCTCTTTCAGAGATTTGGGGGTCCTAGGGTACCCCTCATTCTGCACACTATCAATATATGATGGTCTCCTTTCTAAGGACATGTGCCATATCTCCACTTAACTTGTTCTATTATGGTGTCATTCCTTAATATATTAGAGTTTTTCCATCAAACCATTGTATGTCTTTCAATAGAAAAAGAGAGAGAGAGGGCCACCCCAGTGGCGCAGCAGTTGAGCGCTGGGTTGCGAAGCAGTTGAGCACTGGGTTGCGAAGCTGCCCGCAGCCTCTGCTGTGCCACTTCGATCCCTGGCCACTGGCGAGGGTCCCACATGGCTCACAGACCTCTCCTGCCATGCCCACTGCTCCCCTCAGCACTGTACTTCGTAGGTCTGCCCGTTCTGCTCCCTGCTCTGGCTCTGGTGAATTCTCTCACCTTCCTGCACTTCTGACTGTACCCAGTGCTTGTATAAATAAATAAATAAATATTTTTTAAAAAACAGAAAAAAGAAAAAGAGAAAGAGGGAGTTTATGCTGGGTGTGCTTGAAATAATCAGGTGAACCTTAAAAGATTTGGGTTTTTCCCTCATAAAAAATATTCCAATTTTGGAGAGATTTAATGTGTGAGAGGTCCTCTTCTGGCCTCTACATAGGAACACTGCAATACTGTGAGAGGGCCAACCAGACCACATGAAAAGGAATGAGGGTAGCCCCAGGAACAGTGTGTGCCACTGCTGGTAGTTGGCAGGAAAGCGGGACTTCAGATCTATGACTGTAAGGAGCTAAATTCTACCAGCAGCCAGGGAGATAAGAAGTGGGCCTTAAGCCACAGATGAGATTGCATTCCTGGCTGAGAAAGCAATTTCAGCTTTGTAAGACCATGCCAGATTGCTGACTAGCAGAAACAGGGAAAAAATAAATGTGGGGTTTTTTTAAAGCTTACATGTATATTAACTTACCACATAGCAACAGACATTGAATCCATTCCCACTCAGGGCTCTCACCTGCACACTGTAGGAGGCCATGAGGACAGCAAAGCTGCTGAGGGGGGTACATTGGCAGGTGGTAGTGGTGTCTTTGGTGCTCACCATCCAGCAGCCTTTGGTAGCCCAGTGACCACCACATCCATCCTGATCACGCTGCCAGTAGACACAAAGTATCCTCTGCCTTGACTCAAGGGTCTCTGACTGCAGTAGTAGGGTATAGATAGGAGTTGGTTTTCTGGTGCTCAGAAATGCCAACTCAAAGCTGGTTTGCAAAGGGCTTTCCTGGGGAGATGATGCATGCATGGAAAAGCCCCACCCAACCCCTAAGTTTGAACTGGGCAGCCAAGCCGTGGCCAGTAAAGGATCTTCCACAGCCACAGTCCCACCCCATCAGGACTCACATGCTTGAAGACAAAGGTGACAGAGGAGTTGAGGTTTTGGGTAGCACTGCTGCTCATAAAGGCAGAGATGACATCTGAGCGCAGTATGAAAGAGATGTTTTGTAGAAAATGCTCGTGTGTCTCATGCAGAACTGCCTCCTTCTTAGTCCCCAGGGCCAGAGGGGCCTCTGTCAGCAATTTGCCCATCCCTGGGATGGTGACAAGGCCCACCACAGAAGGACCTGCAGGACAAAGCTAAGACTGATGTTTGGGGTCCTCAACAGGACCTCATTACTCACATGGATTCTTTCCCCACCATTGCCCACAACTTACTTTAAATCTTAGTCTGTATTTGCCACATATTTGTAATAGTGGGTATTTGTGCACTGTGATGCCTCAGTGACCTTCTCCCCACCTCAGCCATTACCTGAGGAACCAGATTCTGATGCCACGCCCCAGTTCAGCATCATCTGCGCCTGATTCTGATTCAAGGTGGCATTCCTGTCTCCATTCTCCTGCACCTCAATGGACAGTTCTAAGAGTGTGGGAATTATATAAGGGGTTAGATTAGTAACTGTGCCTGCAGTGGTGTGTGTGTATATGTATATATACATGTGTGTGTGTGTATATATATATATATAAACTGTGCCTGTAGTGGTTTATATATATACAGAAACTATATAAAAATGTGTAGTTGTTTATATTTATATATGTATACGTGTGTTTACATATATGCATATATATAATATATTATGCCAGTATATTATTTTATGTGTTTAGCATTTACTATGTTTTTTATACCAAATATTATTTTTTTAATTTTTTAAAGATTTATTTATTCATTTACACAAGAACCAGGGTATAGGCCAGATGCGCAGGAGGGTGAGAGGATTCACCAGAGCCAGAGCAGGGAACAGAACAGGCAGACTGACAAAATTCACTGTTGAGGGGAGCAGTAGGAGCAACAGGAGAGGTCTGCCACGCTATATGGGACCCTCGCCAGCCAGCCGGTATCGAACCGGTGCTGCAGAGGCTGCAGGCAGTTTCACAGCACGGCGTTCAACCGCCTGCACCACCAGGGGAGGCCCTATACCAAATATTATATGTGCAAAAGAATACCATTATAATACATTACACATAATATTTGGTATACATAATAATGGCATATAATAAGGTACATATTAAATGGCACACTAACATATTTGACATTTTAATTTATAAAGGAGTATAAGAGAAACCATGAGCAACTGTTCAGCAAGTTAATAACTAGATGAAATGGATAAATTCTTACAGATACAGAAATTTAAAAAAATGGATTGAGGCATAATGGCAACATGGCGGTGAGGAGACGCTGCGAGTAAGATCTCCCATTAAAAAAAGTTAATAGGGAGGAAAAGCGGCAGGTCCCAGTGAGAAGTGGGACACGGAAGATAAACGGGTGATGCCAGCAAACTGCCCGAAGAAGAAAGTTGCCATAAAAGAGGACCAGAAGGGAGGAAAGCGCAGAACCCTGCTCCCCTCCCCCGCCCACAGAGGCGGCACTCTCCGATCCCCAGAGAGGAGGAAAACAACAAACTGAAATGACCAACAAGAACAAACGACGCAGCAAGCGGGACTGTGAGTGGAAAGGAACTATTGCAGCCACCACACCCCGTGAACAGGAGCTGTGGAGAACCCTGCAGGATTCGCCGTGGCGGTGAGCAAACGGCTCCGGGCACCATTAGAGAAGAACAAAGACCCCAGGAGACGCGCACACAGCCCGGGCTGCTGGTAAGCTTGTGCGGAAAAGCTGCGTGCTTGGCGCGCTTGAAAAGAAAACGCGGACCGGGATCGCGACTGCCCAGGTCCCTGCGCCTGCGACCTAGGCTTGCAGGGAGATGCGCGGAGGCCCTCATGGGGGTGAAAGTCCCTCACTGAGTAAGCAGGAACCAGGCGCCCAGGCACGGGAGCGGGTGCAAAAGGCGCCATTCCCGCGCCACTGAACTGGGCTACAGCCCGCATCCTGGACCTGAGGGCTTTGAACTGAGACCCAGGGCACGAAATTCTGGGCGTGGGTTCTCCACGATGGTGGGGCACAAGGCAGACACAGCACCCCAAAGCTGTTGAGGTTTACCCTACCATTCTCGCTCTCTGTTCCCTGTCGCAGGGGGGTGGGGGGGTTGATAAACAGCCCCCCAAGGACAATAGGAGAGATCTCTGGCGCCACCTAGTGACCAGAAAAAAAAGTCACTAACACCCCATAGAACAGGGAAATTTCTTAAGACTTCTTGAAAAGGGCAGAAGGCTTCTGGAGGACCAGTGGCCAGCTGGGAAGTTAGCCCACGCCAGGCCCCTTCCAACTAGCAGTCTGAGCCCACAGAGGGAGCAGGCACCCACGTCCGGGGCAGACCGGGCAAGCAGAAGAGTATGCCTGAGACCGGATGCGCAGTGACTGCGTCCCACTTCGCCAGTTTAGAACAGGGACATTTCTTCAGTAAAGACTGCCTAAAACCAGCAGAAAGCTGCCCCAGAAGCCAGAGATGGCTCCTGGAGGAGCCAGAGGGGAGCGGAGAAGTTCACCCAAGATGACGGCCAGTCCGAGCAACACAGTGTCCCAATGCATACGACAAATTAGAAAACAGACAGTAGGGAGTAGAAGAACCACACGCAACCAAACAACGCCTCAGGAAAGAAGCACACCACAAAAAGAAAACCACCCTCCAGATTGCAACGAGAGTAACTTGGAAGAACTTCTGAGCCTTCCAGAAAGAGAATTTAAAATTGCCCTGATTAAAAAAGTGGCAGAAGTCATAAAGGAAAACAATGATCAGAAGAAGGAAATTGAATCCCTAAAGAGGGAAAACAATGGTCAGAAGAATGAAATTGAGTCCCTAAAGAGGGAAAACAATGGTCAGAAGAATGAAATTGAGTCCCTAAAGAGGGAAGTAAAAGAAATGCAAGAGATCAAAGAATTAATGGAGGAACTAAAGAACTCTGGGAAAAGCAATGAAAGCAGAATAGATGAAATGGAAGAACGAATAAGTACTCTTGAAGACACAGAAATAAAAAGAACCAAAACAGAAAAGGAAAGAGAAGTACGAAGGAAAAAGAACGAAGAAAGACTTCGGGAACTATCTGACGCCATGAGGAAAGGAAATATAAGAGTTATAGGAATTCCAGAAGGAGAGGAGAGAGATGTAGGAACAGAGAAAATATTCCAGGAGATAATTGAAGAGAACTTCCCAAATGCGAAGAAGGAGCTGAAAATTGATATACAAGAAGCAAGAAGAACACCAAACTTCCACGACGAAAGGAAAAACACAGCAAGACACATAATAGTAAAGCTCCCAAGAATCCAGGACAAGGAAACAATAATGAAGCTGACAAGAGGGAAGAAACAGATAACATTCAAAGGAAAACCAATCAGGCTGACATCAGACTTCTCTGAAGAAACACTACAGGCAAGGAGAGAGTGGAGGGACATAGTCAACAGACTCCAAGAAAACAGATGCCAACCAAGAATACTCTATCCCGCAAAGCTCTCCTTCCTCTTTGAAGAAAGAATATGGACCTTCCCAGACAAAGAGAAACTCCGGAATTTCATTACGACTAAACCCCCACTCCAAAAAATACTACAAGGAATCCTAAAGCTAGAACCTCAGAGGGCCGAATAACAATGAAAGAAGACCAAAAAAAAAAAGTTATTAAAAGAATAAATAAATAAAATCAAAGGAAAGACAAACACAATGGCAAATACAGATGCTAACATATCAATATTAACTCTAAATGTAAATGGACTAAACTCTTCAATAAAAAGACACAGAGTTGCAGCCTGGATTAAGAAACAAAACCCAACCTTTTGCTGTCTCCAGGAAACACATTTAGCTACAAAAGATAAAAATAGGCTTAAAGTTAAAGGATGGAAAACAATCCTACAAGCAAATGGACTAAAAAAGAAAGCAGGAACAGCTATACTTATATCAGATAAAACAGACTTCAAACTCAAAAAAATAAAAAGAGACCCCAGTGGTCACTACATTATTATCAAGGGGACAATACTTCAAGAAGAAATAACACTCATTAACATATACTCACCAAACGAAGGAGCACCAAAATATATCAGACAACTGTTGTCCTCTCTGAAAACAGACATCAGAGAAAACACATACGTAGTGGGAGACTTCAACACACCACTATCAACAATGGATAGATCAACAAGACAAAAAATAAGTAAAGAAACTAAAGCTCTAAATAAGGACCTAGAGCATTTGGGCTTAACAGACATCTATAGAACACTAAACCCAAAAAAAACGGAGTACACATTTTTCTCAAGCGCACATGGATCATCCTCCAGGATCGATCACATACTGGGGCACAAGACAAACATCAACAGATACACCAAGATTGAAATCATACCAACCATTTTTTCTGACCATGAAGGCATCAAACTAGAAATAAACCATAAAAAGAAGGCAAGGAACTATTGTACCTCATGGAGATTAAAAACCAAACTACTGGAAGACCACTGGACTAATGAGGAGATCAAAGAAGAAATTAAAAAATTCTTTGAATTGAATGACAAGGAGGACACTAATATCCTAAATGTATGGGATGCAGCAAAAGCAGTAATAAGAAGAAAATATATAGCAGTAGAAGCTCACATCAAAAAACAAGAAAGAACTCAAAGAAACAACCTAATCTCAAAGCTCAGAGATCTAGAAAAAGAACAACAAAAAAACCCCAAAACCAGTAGAAGAAAAGAAATAATAAAAACCAAAGCAGAAATAAATGAAATTGAAACTAAAAAAACAATCCAAAAGATCAATGAAACCAAGAGCTGGTTCTTTGAAAAAATCAATAAAATAGACAAACCCCTAGCCAGGCTCACAAAGGAAAAAAGGGAGAAAGCACAAATAAACAGGATCATCAATGAAAGAGGAGAAATCACAACGGACACAGCAGAAATCAAAAGAATAATCAGTAACTACTATGAACAGTTATATGGAAACAAGTTCAACAATCTAGAGGAGATGGACAAATTCCTACAACTCTACAATCACCCAAAGCTAGATAAAGAAGAAATAGAACACCTAAACAGACCAATTACAAGCAGCGAAATTGAAATGGTAATTAAAAACCTCCCCAAAAACAAAAGCCCAGGACCTGATGGATTTACAAATGAATTCTACCAAACATTCAGAGACGAATTAGTGCCTATCCTTCACAAACTCTTCCAAAAAATTGAGAAGGAAGGGACAATACCAAACACGTTCTATGAAGCCAACATTACACTAATACCAAAACCGAACAAGGACAACACTAAAAAGGAAAACTACAGGCCAATCTCCCTAATGAACACTGATGCAAAAATCCTCAATAAAATTTTAGCCATCAGAATCCAACAATGTATCCATAAGATAATTCACCACGACCAAGTAGGATTCATTCCAGGGACACAAGGATGGTATAACATCCGAAAATCAATCAACGTTATCCAACACATCAACAAAAAGAAATATAAAAACCATATGATAATATCAATAGATGCTGAGAAAG